GTGGGGGGCGCCGACCCTGCCGCTGGTAGGAGGATAGGGATGGGGATGGTGGTGTGATGATGATAATGATGATGATTATTATATACATTTTTTTTTCTTATCATGATCTTTATTATAATCTATCCAACAGCAACAGTTGCCAGCGAAGACGGACTACCTACCTGACGAAGGCTTCATCGAGGCTGAGGCTCCAGGGTCGGTCTCCCGCGCCCCCTCCCTGGCCCCCTCCCCGACGCCCTTCCAGCCTGCGAATTCTCCCGTAGGACCGGGGGAGGCGCTGGAGGAGGAGGAGGAGGAGGACCAGGAGCCCTTCAACATGCACAAGTGGAGTGAGGACTATACGCACCTCGCCCAGGCCGTGTACGGGGCCGACCACGACCAGTCGGGTACGGCAGGAGGCCTCCAGAAGGGATTTGGGGGCGTCGGGTTTGGGCGGGGTCATGTGCACAGACACACGGGTTGACTGACAAACACACGCACACGCACACATACTCGTATACGGACACGGGTACAAACACGAACACATACACGCACACACATATTCATCCATACATGTATATTCAGTTTGATTTTGAAACGAAACCTGAAGACGAATATACTTACCGAAAAAAAATTAAATATACGCTTTCAACCTCTCCCTCAAACTCTCCCACAGGGTACATGCCACCGGAGGAGGTTCGCCACGTGGCCTCCACCTACAACCTCGTCTACAACCTCAACATCTCGGAGGCGTCGTTGACCTCGGCCATCTCGTCGGCCACTGACCCGAGCTACGGCGAGGTCAACCTTGAGTACTTCGTCGCCAGCCTCCAAGACCTTCACTTCCAGGAGAAGGGAGCGTATTGAGTACAAACTTCGGACAGGTTGGCGACTGCGCGACCGTTATGGTTTTATTTTTGAATTTTATCATCATTCTGTTTATTTATTTGTTTTACTGATTTTATTTATTTATTTTTGAGGGGGCCTTTATTTGCAGTCTTTTCGTGTGTGTGTCTTATTGTTATCATTAAGATTTTTTTTTTTTTTTTACTTAATTTATATTTCACTCTTGTTTGTGGAAGATTATGTCGATATATTTGTTTTCTCTCATTCTCCTTCTTTCCTCGTTCTCTTCTCTGCATCTTTTCTAATTCCCTTTTTTTCGATATTCGTAAAGATGCTTAAAGATAATTCAGGGATGAGGAGAACGAGCGTAAATTAATTATGGAGATCGGTCTTCACTCTTTATCAGTTTTTGTCTGTCCTAACTATTGATATACCTGAATCTATCTTAAGGAGAATGTACCACGAAGCATTCTCTCTTTTTTTTTTAGATTAATAATTCAAATTACATATAAAATTTATTCTAATTATCATCCCGTTGAAGGGATACGAACTCACTCACTTTTGCAGCTGAGTGAGAGTTCGAATCTAGCATGCGTGAAGATAATGCTACAAACATTATCATATTTATACATTTCTTATATATTTAAGAGTAAATTGGTCTTACTCGGACGGAAATGTTAGAAAGAGAGTATAGTAGTATTGTTTTGAAGTAAAGAGTAAAGTCATTCTGTTTTTGTCTAGTGGTTTGTGGGTTTATCTCTCTCTCTCTCTTTCTTTTTCTCTTTCTCTTTCTCTCTCTTTCTTTTCTCTTTCTCTCTCTCTCTCTTTTTCTTTCTCTCTTTCTCTTTCTCTTTTCTTTTTCTCTTTCTCTTTCTCTTTCTCTCTCTTTTTCTTTTCTCTTTCTTTTTCTCTTTCTATCTTTTCTTTTTCTTTCTCTCTTTCTTCTTTCTTCTTTCTCTTTCTTTTTCTTTCTCCTTTTTCTTTTTCTTTCTCTTTCTTTTTCTCTTTTTCTCTTTCTTTTCTCTTTCTTTCTCTCTTCTCTCTTTCTTTTTTCTCTTTCTCTCTTTCTTTCTTTCTTTTTCTCTTCTCTTTTTTTTCTCTTTCTCTTCTTTCTTTTTTCTCTTTCTCTTTTTTCTTTTTCTTTTTTCTCTTCTCTTTTTCTCTTTCTTCTTTCTCTCTTTTTTCTCTTTCTCTTTCTTCTCTTTTTTTTCTCTTTCTCTTCTTTTCTCTCTTTCTTTTCTTTCTCTTCTTTTTCTTTCTTTTTCTTTTTCTCTTTCTTCTTCTTTTTCTTTTTCTCTCTCTTTTTTCTCTTTCTCTTTCTCTTTTTCTCTTTTCTCTCTCTCTTTCTTTTTCTCTTTCTCTCTCTTTCTTTCTTTTCTCTTTCTCTCTTTTCTCTTTCTCTCTCTTTCTTTTTCTCTTTCTTTCTCTCAAATATTCAATTTCTTATGAAACTAGAAGTTGTTTCAACTGGACATAGCAACAGTATGATAAAATGAGCATTTGCTGAACATACAGAACTTATGAGTTATAAAAGAAACCGGGATTGTTGACACCAACCTCTTTATAACGGTAGACTGAAATAAACCTGTCACAAACTTGCCATTTATTTTCCTTTTTAGCCTACCAAACCTTATCAACCTTGAAATTACGTATGCATATAGAAGCACATGTGGCTACGTCTTGAATATATATAAGACTCTTGTGATAGCAGATTTTTTTAAAGATCACTATTTCAGTATAAGTAAATATCTGGGAAAATAAATTAATGCATGTTGCTTCCCTTTAGAAAAATATTAATACATTTACTATACAGTTTGCAACAAAAACTAAATGCATTATCATTTCTGACACTATTTTTTGTCGGATTAGGAAGCATTCAAAGAGCACAGGTATCCATCGGCTAACGCCCCAAACCCATTTCGTAAAATGTGTCTATTACAAGTTTTTCAAAGAAATATTTCTGAGTACCCAATTTTCTCTGACAAATAGCACTGGCGAATCCTTAAATTCCACCTTGAATCTTTTTGCAGATCTGGTTCTCCATCAAAATCTAGTTCATTCTGCGAATAATCCCGCAAACCAAAGCCCCCAACCCATGCTGACATCGTTGGGGAGGGCTTTGGAGACGGGGACTGAGGCCCTTTGTAAGGGACCACCCCTATGTTGGACCTCAGCCCTCGCCTCAACTAATTTTGCGTTGTCTTTTCTTCTCCCCCTCTCCTTTTTCCTTCTCTTCTTCGTCACGAGAGCCGTGGTAAAATAATTAAAAAGTGGCTTTGCCAGTCCTGAACGGCCTCCCTTAATAACTGTACTGTTTCCGTCTCCCGGCTGATTGTCATGTGACAAGGACTGGTCAGACTGTGAAAACGACCTGCTCGCTTACCTCGTCGTCTTGGATGCAGTGGCAGTACAGTGCTACACTATTCGTCCCAGAAACCAAAGTCCAACTCCAATATTGCCGATTAACTTCCGTAGACATGACCTCTCCCATGAAGTTTCTATTGGTGGAGTGTCTTGCCCTGTCCGATTATATCGACCCCTTCCCTACTGTCAGAAATATTGGTGTTTTGTCCACCCAGTCAAACATTGTTGCTCCACAGGCCATTGCCCTCTATGTGGCCAACCTGGTCATGACCGTTCAAAATGTTCTGCTCAGTCACGTACGTGTGTCAGTTGTGATGGCTCTCATAACGTATTTCATAGGAGCTGCCGTGCCTATAAGCTCGAATGTGAGGTAGCAGTTCTAAGATTCAAACTAGGCTTCACTGTGAGTGAGACCAGACGGAAGTATGTTGACGCGGATATTCTCTCTTAACCTACTCTAAAGCTGTCTTTCGCTCCGCTCTCCTTCTATTTTCTCAAATTGTCTCAGCATCTCACCCTTCTATGTCAGTCCCTTATTATACTACGTCTACTCCCCCTTTCCCACAGTCAAAATCCAGATACTCCAATCCCAACCACTTTCCCAATGCTTGCCCCTCCTTCTCACTCTACCTGTCGCATCAGGCAATCTAAACGTTCTACTCCATCTTCTCTCCTATGCCCACACTTCCTTCTGCTCCTCGGACATCTGTCCCCTCTTCTCATAAGAAAACCCTTTTTTCAGACTTCCCCCTCAAAAACTCTTGAAGACATCCAAAACCTCCAAAACATGACCCAAGGGATCTCTCCACTTGTTCAACCACCCTCCATTCTTATTCCTTTTACATTTAAAGTAATTGCCGGTATCCATTTTCCTCCTGAAGTTCCGCATAGTGCTCTTCCTCCTGCTCTTTCCCAACACACCCAGTTCTCTCCTCCATATGCATCATTCCCTCTTCTTCCCCCATGTTATCCCTACCGCTCCCACCTGTTTGCTCATGTGATTCTTCTCCGGATCCTTCCTCTCCTGACATTCTTCCCGATACTTCACCACCTTCCCCTGTTCCCTCATCTCATTCCCTGGATTCTTTTCCTACTTATCCAACGACCAATTCTACCCATATTAGCCGTCGATTGTTTCATTATGGCTTTTTTTTTTTTTTTTTTTACAGTTTTCCTCTTCATTCCTCAAACATAGATATTCTCCATTTGACCAAATCGCCCCAGGCCCTTGACCCCTTCCCCTTTTACAAAGCCCTGCCGTACTCCATCGCTCTCCCATCTTTACCCTTTTCACTACTATCCTATAGTGCTCTACAACCTTTGACATTTACCACATTTTATCCTAAACGTTCCCTCCTTTTTACCCTTTTCGCCATCATAGCGCTACATGACCTTTGATGCCTAGCACATTTATTTGTTTTAACCTAATTGTAAACCATAAACACAGACACAAATACACACAAACAACAACAAAAAAGTCTTCTGTTTAGCAGAGGCGAAGTTAACGATAACTGTGGCCATGTTCTCTGCAAATGTATCACACAATTACAAAGTTTCTTACAATGTTCTTGTGTATGACATGTCCTTGTACGATGACATTATGATGCTTTATGTATCAGATTTAAGTTCACCTTTGAAAATGTGTGATTTTAATATAATATATTTATATATCATTTATACAGAATACATATAAAAATATTTGTTTAAGCTCAAATGCATTTTTTCATTATAAGTCTTTTCAGCAACCCTAAAATATTAGCAGAGCCTATTAAAAGATTCCAGGCCCCTCGGTTGATCAGACATCTAGCTACTAAAGTGTAGAGATAAAATTACCTTTAATTTATTTTCTTATTTATGATATCATAGCCTGATAACAAAGAGGTACTTTGTATTCATATACTACTACTGTAAGGGCTTTGACAAGTATCCAGTATTATAGGAAAAAAAAAAAAGCTATTTTCTTTTCTGTTACCAGAAACTTTTTTTTCATGTGTTCATACTTAACAGTTACGTGTGATCCAGTGTCATTAAATACAAACACACACCTGTTAAATAACATTTATTTACTGCATTGCTCTTGTTTTTCTACAGGAATTTATCATTCAAACTCCAAACCACACATGTATCAAAACACTACAAAAGACTCATGTTTCAGGAAGTCTCACATTTCACCCACAATTATGTATCTGTATAAAATCCAGAAGAGAAAAATTCTTCGCAGTCCAGCTGAATCTCAAGTGGAAAAGAATGGGACATCAAACTGTGACATTCTCCGCAATAAAAGAATGTATGATCATAAATAAAATTTTCTGTAAGAACTATTCTTTTCTTTGAATAAATGAGAATATAAAGTAAGAAAGTGACAAGCAAATTGAGTATATATCTCTTGGAATGCATAGAATACTACCAACTAGTGTACCAAAAAATTGCCGAAAAGAATGTGTAGAAATTTAGTGTGCCATCTTCAGTTTGATTTTTATAAATAATCAGTAGTTAGGCGGTATAATAATTGCCCTTCTAATTTACACAGTTCCCATAACATATTTTAAAAGTTTGCTTTGCTTCTCCATTAAGAGATCTCTTTACAGAAAAAAATAATTCACATCCTTCCATTGCCTGTTATTCTGTTCTGTCATAATATCGTCTTACTCTGTGTGAAAATAGGATGTTACAACTGTGATAACTTATACCTTGAAACTAACATCCCTACACCTTAAAACTTGTAGATAAAGGTAAAGAAATTGCATGCTTAATAAAAGTGCATAAAATCACACATTTATATGGATTCCTGGTAAGCAGAAAATTAGCAAATTTGTAGACACTGTAAATGCCGATCTTAGTCCATCACTCTTAAATGAAATGGTACAGATGGAATTATTTATCATCCTCGTAAAATTTGGATAGGTAGAATGAAGTAGGTTTAGTTTTCTTTTTGGCTGATATACGTAAGTTCTTGGAATTCACTGATAAGTAGGAAAAGATTACGGAAGAAAAGCCACTGTACCTGATTTATGAAATGGTTCGTCACCATTTTTAGAATCCTTCTGGATTGGATCTCCATGTACTCAAGATTGAAATTTAGTCTGAGCATAGCAAGTTTTCTACCATATTATACACACAGCAGCATGTTTTGCTATGCAGGGAAAATTATGGTAATGTAAATCTAAATAAAAATAAATAATTCAATTCTGCTATCAAGACAATAGGTAATATTTATTATCTGTAATTACATACATTTTCCTCTACCCTTTCTTGGTATTTTTATTTAATTATTTCTTTTTAGCTTTCTTTGGTCATTTGCATTCACTATATTTTGTATTTCTTATGAATTCAATAATAAGCTTATACCTCCTTCCAAAACATACATTCTTCCTAAATTAAGTGAATAGGAAAATAGATATGAATAAAATTAAGAGAACA